TTCCCCCTTTAAGGTTCTCACATACTCATGGTGGTCTCAACAACGTCCGCAGATAGGGCGCACCGCACATTTTGAGGGAAAAAAAAGACGTTTAGGTGCGCCTTATAGTCGTGAAAATACGGTAGTGGGTTTTGGGGATTCTTCTGTTATACCGAGTTTAAACACCTCAGCAAACTGGATCCAAGTTAGCAGTTCTGCTTCTGTCCCCTGTGTTTGATTTTAAATTATTGCCACTCTGATGGTTATTTGCAAATGTCGAAATACCACATCTGGAGACAACATAGTGTCTATCTTACGGTATAATCATAAATCTAAATGTCTTCTCCATCTGATTTTTCTATTAATCAATGTAATTTAAGGTTAAGTTCTTCACTACATACCACATAATAATGAATATATATATATATATATAGTTGAAAGCTCGGTAGCTTTTTGGAGAAGCAAAGTAATACAATATAAAGCTGATGCTACCATGTCCTGTTTTCTGGTGAGGGAGTTTTTGCAAAATAGTTTCCTATTCAGGTCAACTGACAGCTTTGCTAGGGCCCGGGACAACACAGAGTTTTTTTTTAATATTTACTCCTAAAATCCCTCAAGCCTTTGATGTCATCTTACCTTTTTCTCTTTTTTTTGGTGCGCCGGACTTCTGAAAACCCTCATTTTATGTTATGTTGGGTTGGGGGGAGTTCTAATGGCCCCATATTTAAAGCAAACATATTACATATACCTAGTGTATATGTATAAATATATATATATATGTATATATATACACACCCGTGTTTGATCGCATATAATGTGTAGTTGCTCTAATATTAAATATTTTTTTCACAAATCTTTTCTGAAACAGTCAGAGTGTCAATTTGGGCCCCCCTCTGTCCTGGGCCTGGGACATTTGACCCATTTGTCCCCCCTGTTGGCGGGGGTGTTCCTATTTCTTAAGGTCTTTCTGACTCAGACACACAACTACAGTTTTTAGGAATTTAAAATCAATCATTCATGTGTTAGGACACATCTAACGTTCTCAGAGGTGAAGTCTTAAAAGTTGTTTTTCTTTTTAACAGCTACTTTAGGACATTAATTCATGTTTTTAAAACTTTCGCTTAATGCTCCAATTAATATGTAAATATGATGTTTTTTACTACAATAACCACAACAATTTTGCAGTCGTTAAAGCCTAAGATCAAACAGCTTCTCTGGAACATGAACTTAGTCTCAGCTGAGATTTGTGTTAATTTGCTTTGGGGCGGACTCTGCACATTGATGGCTTTGGGTTTGATTCATCCTTCTCTTAATCAAGACTACTAACCTCTTTTTTTAATCGCATTAGACTGTATTTTTTATTTTCACAACACTTTACCATTTGAATTTATCCTTTGAGTTTTGCAGCCCTCAGCACTCAGACTTTTCATAAAATTATTTTCAAGGTAACTTTTTTTCTCCTTTTGCCTCACAGATGGAAAATTACTTCAGGTGCTGCAAAACGAGACATGAATAAACTGACTTACTACAGTTAAAACAGCAGCTTTCAGTAAATAAGTTTTAATATCGATACCAATCATTTGACAAAAAAGAAAATACTTGGTTTGAACCCAAATATGAGGGATTTGCAAACCAGCCAGAAAACTGAATAGTTTGAAAAAAGTTCTTAATTTAATACCCCAAAAAGAGAGGTCAACAAACCAGACTTCAATTCAGATACAAAGACAAAAAACTCAAGCACAAAAAGACCAAACAAGACATGATGGAAACTTAAATAGTGGCTGATTAGACAATTGTGGACGCAAAAAGGGGGGTAACTGACTAACAAACTAACATGCAAATAAACTCAATTAAACAGACAAATACTGGTCAGACACTAAATGCTTTTTTAAAGTGAACAAATATAACGCAACTTTCCAAAACAAAGAATACCTAAACATATGATAAACACATTTCCTCTCCCATTACAGCTGAGGAGGCTGCATTGACCATATAAGCAGAAGTAAGCTGGCGCTCATTGGAGCCCTCCAGCTGCTCCAAAGGAAACTTTCAACTCAAAGAGAAATAAATGAATCCATTGCATATTAAATAAAAACTTAGCAAACTAAAAAATTAAGTTAACTAAATGTGTTCACTGCAAATAGCTAACTAAAAAGTCTGGCTAATTGAAATATGAATTAAAATCATTTTGAAAATGATTATAAAAAACCGTTACCACTCATCAGCTTTCATGTGTCACACCAAATATGGTTCTTGTTATGTGATTAGGGTCCCGGTCCCTATTTTCTTTAATCTTTGTTTATTTATTGCGTGTTTCAGATTATGAAATAATTTTTTGAATTGCAGGTGAATGTTTCTCTTTCAGATTAAAGGTCTGGAATGGCTGGTTTCTCTCTACAATAACAATCTGAATGGGATCCTAGCTGATGAGATGGGTCTGGGAAAAACCATCCAGACCATCGCGCTCATCACCTACCTCATGGAGCACAAGCGGCTCAATGGACCCTACCTCATCATTGTTCCCCTCTCGTGAGTTAATCCTTGCTTCCATGATGAGATATTAAATAAACTTCCGTCTTTAGAAACCATGTGGTTGTTATATTGGTTCACATGAAAACTGATGTGAATCTGTTTGGCAGAACGTTGTCTAACTGGGTTTATGAGTTTGACAAGTGGGCCCCATCGGTTGTTAAAGTGTCCTACAAGGTGAGTTTTCACACGCAGACACCTTCAGCATGTATGTAGTGTTTTGCATTTTTCAAAGGACAAAAAAATTGTGTTTTAGGGGTCTCCCGCTGCTAGAAGAGCTTTTGTCCCCCAGCTGCGCAGCGGCAAATTTAATGTTTTACTCACCACTTACGAGTACATCATCAAGGACAAACAAGTGCTGGCCAAGGTGAGTAGAGGACAGAAAGACAGACACAAGACACAATCCAACTCAAGCTGACATAATGAGTTCCACCATCACATGTTAATACGCTGCACGCAGCTTTTTATACCCTGTTTTATTATATTTTGACGCTATTGTTTGCTGTGTTTCCATTTGTTAGATTTTAAATCCCCCAAATCATCTGTAAGCTGTTGAGTTTGGCCAGTCTGACCCCCCGCCTCTGCTGCGTCTCAGTTCTCTCTCCTAGGTTCTGCAACACATTGGCATGGCCTCTCCCCATTGTCCTCTGTGGCCATCATGCTGCCATGCATTCATGTTGTCTTATAGGGTTCCAGAACGGGCTGACAGGTGGGTTAGGTGAGGGTTCTGGTTCAGGACTCAGGAAGCTCAAGGACAAAGTGGACAAGAAATCGTCCTCTAAAGCAGTTCCTAATTTCAGATGTGTTTGATTACAAGCGCAGAGGGTTAGGTCTGCGAAGCTGTAGTCTGAGTAAAATGGGTTTTATTGTCGTGTCGTCCAGATCCGTTGGAAATACATGATTGTGGATGAAGGCCACCGGATGAAGAACCACCACTGCAAGCTGACCCAGGTCCTAAACACCCACTACCTCGCTCCAAGGCGAGTGTTGCTGACCGGGACGCCACTGCAGAACAAGCTGCCTGAGCTGTGGGCACTCCTCAACTTCCTGCTGCCCACCATTTTCAAAAGCTGCAGCACATTTGAGCAGTGGTTCAATGCTCCATTTGCAATGACAGGAGAGAAGGTGGGCTTTACCTGCTGATGTATCCTGGATTTAGACAGCTTGTGGTGTTGTTTTTAGTTAGATGTTAAAACAAGGTGTCGTTTTGGTCAAACACTCTCCCTTTCTAGGTGGATCTCAATGAAGAGGAGACCATCTTGATCATCCGTCGCCTGCACAAAGTTCTACGTCCTTTCCTGTTACGAAGACTAAAGAAGGAAGTGGAGGCTCAGCTTCCTGAGAAGGCACGAGTTTCTTCTCTCAGCACATTAAAAAACTCCAGATACAAACTACTTTTCGCCACAATAAAAGCCTCCCTTATTGTTACCTTTACTGATAAAAATATGCAACATAGATCCTTCAATTATCATATAAGAGGATTTATTAATCAGTGATAAAAATAAGGTTGCACTGATCAATCGGTGCTGTGAGATCTGTTGAGAATAAGATACCCGTATCTATCTCCGTATCTCTTAATCTTCTAATCTATTCATTTATACTTGGGAGCACTACCCCATGTGCAGTTAAAACACGTTTGGGTTGTTATGTGTAGTGTATTTGATTGGAACATTGAAATTATAAATCAGTATCAATTCAACTCAGAATCAATCAGCAGATCTAGTCTTTAAAGATCAGAGATCGACCAGAAAACTACGATCCCTGCTTTGCTAGAAAAATATGAACTCAGGAAAATTTTGTTTTATTCAAAGTAATGGAGGCACGTCACCGGGGACAAATGTTTTCTCTGAGATTTACATATTTGCATATTTCCTAGAAAGGGTGAACATACTATTAGGAAATATCTGCTGTCCTGAAGCTGCAGTCAGGGATAGGATAATAAAGTGGAGAGAGCGACTGAATCTTTGACAAACGAGGCTGGTTGTTTTTCATATAGGTAGGTACGCTGGAAGACCTGTTATGCTTTGGACCATTTTGGTAGTGAAAACCGCCCATGTTTAATCATTTATTTCAAGACTTGCCTGCCATAACCCATCATCAGCAGGGGTTCTTATAGGCCAGGCATCCCCAAAGTCGGTCCTCGAGGGCCGCTGTCCTGCAGGTTTTAGAGGTTTCCCTGCTCCAGCACAGCTGATTTACATTGATAGTTGATAAACAGGCTTTTGCTGCACTGCAACCATCAGAATCAGCTGTGCTAAAGCCGAGCAACCTCTAAAACCTGCAGGACAGCGGCCCTCGAGGACTGACTTTGGGGATGCCTGTTATAGGCCATATATTGTAGATCTATTCAGATCCGATAATAGAACCCCTTCTTTAAACTCTGCTCAAGATTTATGGTCATTATTGACAGTCAAGTCACCCAGGGAATCCTATCATGTTTTACCTTCATTACTTTTAACTGCGTGTTAAAAACCATCTGCTGTAAATTTAAACAGTAAGTTAATTCTTGATCAAAACTCCTAATCTGCATCGTGACATCTGATTGATAAATCCCGAGTATTTATTTAGCATTTTATTGATCAGAAAGACTTAAAGAGCTTTTTCTCCTCCCATCAGGTGGAATATGTCATCAAGTGTGACATGTCGGCTCTCCAGAGGGTCCTGTACCGGCACATGCAGGCCAAAGGAGTCCTGCTCACTGATGGATCAGAAAAGGATAAGAAGGTGAAGGCTTAGAAACCTTTTTTACAGTGACTCAAGGTCTTGTTCTTCTAGATATAGTTTGAACCTCGGTATGCAGTGAGATATCACGCTCTGTACTCTTTAAATGCTCTTTATCTTTATGTTATGTCTCTCGCACAGGGAAAAGGAGGCACAAAGACTCTGATGAACACAATCATGCAGCTGAGAAAGATCTGTAACCATCCATATATGTTCCAGCAGATTGAGGTGCATGCCTCGGCCTTTAACAATGAAGGATGTCAATCAAAAGATCAACATCGGGATGAATGACAGAAAATGTTTGTTTGTGTTTTTAGGAATCTTTCTCAGAACATTTAGGATTCTCTGGTGGGATAGTCCAGGGGTAAGGAAGCTCTTATATCTTAGTTTGCATAAGACATCAGCTCTTTCCGTTCTAACTCTCTTCCTGTTTGTTAGTCCTGACCTTTATCGGGCTTCAGGAAAGTTTGAGGTGCTGGATCGGATCCTGCCAAAGCTGAGGGCCACAAACCATAAAGTGCTGCTCTTCTGTCAGATGACCTCCCTCATGACCATCATGGAGGACTACTTTGCCTACCGCAGCTTCAAATACCTGCGTCTGGATGGTAAGACGTCTTTTCCGATGTCTTTATAAGCACAGAGGGAACTTTGAAAGGGCTCCTTTAAAAAACAATATTCTGTCGAAACAAAACATCCTGAAACGTTACACCATGAAAGCTTTAAATCTAGCTAATTTTAAAGTGTTTTCGATTTTATGAGCTAAGTAGTTACTCTAAGCAACATGTTCTAAAACTTCCACTGGGCTGAAAACGTACAAAAGACTTTGACCATCTGGTTAGAGAATAATGTTACTAACTATGGGAATTTACCTGCTATATTTCTCACTATTAAAAAGGAAGTCATGGAGGTCATACGTTCTGAATGTTTCCATATTCTGCCTTTTTGATAATATTTTAGGGATTTTAATCTGCAGAGCGACATAAAGTTGTGTTGCTCTGCTGGTGGTGGTTCACACTAAGTTAAGTTAAAGTTAACTTGTGAAACCACCACCTCCAGAAGTCACCTAATTCTTAAAGTAATAGCATAATCCCTGCAAAAATATATACTTTTACAAGGAGTTTAAATGTGTTGTAATTCTTACATTTACTCGAGTAAAAGTTAAGGGTACACGTTCCACCATAAGTAACTCGAGCCAAACAGAGATAAGGAAAGAAAATACAAAAGATGGATATTGGAAGTGGAAATGTCTTACCCTGTCCTAACAGATGTATAATTCTCACTGCAAGGACTGATTTCATAACTTTTTTGTTGAGAAAATGGATTTCGAAATAATTGGTTTCTTCTGCAGGAATTTGTATTTTTGTCATATTGCTATCTATTTGTACCTTACCTATTTATTTTACAGTAGTCTTAAAAATACCGGGACTTTCACATAATGTCTGTCTAACTGCATAATTTCTAAATATATATTTAAGATGTTATCATACAACAATTACTCAATATCTGAGTGGCCTCTTTACTAAATATCTTTGTACTTTTATTGAGTAAAAAAAATGCTGAAGTAGTGCAACTCTTACTTAGGTTTAATGTTTTTGTACTTTACCCACCTCTGATCAAAGCTGGTCTCCGAAGGCCCCAGAGGTTTGTTAGAGAAGATTATGACACAAAAACGTCATGAAGACCAAAAAACACTGGAAATTGCCCGGGTGAGCGTTTTAGAGAAATTTGAAACATGGTTTGGTCAGTGGAACAGAAAGGTTAGGTCAGAGAACAGAAAGTCTTTCACAGCTCTACCTCATTTGACTTGTCAACAGTTGATCCTTTTGTTGTATGGAGAAACTAACATTACACACAAGCCTGAAAAGACTACCTCTTCACTTACACATGGTGGTGGCAGAATCATGCTGTGGAAATACCTTTTTTTGGCTGTGATTGGGAAGCTGAAATGGATGGGAAGAAGGATGGAAATAAATACAGGGCGGTTATCTCCCAGAAAGGATGACTAGTGTATATAAAAGGGCCTAGTCAAAGTTCTGAAATAAAACCGGCTGAGGATCTCTGCTCATTCTTGAACATTGATGTTCACTGGAGCTCTGTGTCCAATCTGAGTTTAGTTTTTTCATGAGCAATTGAAAGATGGTTACATAAAGTTTTCTCATAGATTATTTGTTCTTGTTGCTAAAAAAAAACATGTATCATTTTCCTTCCTCCTCTTTTTGGGTTTGTTTGTGTTTGCTTTGCATATAAATCCTAATGAAAGACCTGAAAGTTTTTGGTTGTAATGTGAAAAAACAGGAGAAATTTCAGAGGTTTTGAAGGTTTTACCTTTAACAATTTTATGTTCTTGTCCCTACTGCCTTTTCCTCTCCTCACACCAGGCACCACAAAGGCTGAAGATAGAGGAATGCTTCTGAAGACGTTCAATGACCCAGAGTCGGAGTACTTTATTTTTCTCCTGAGCACAAGAGCTGGAGGCCTCGGCCTCAACCTTCAGTCTGCAGACACCGTTATTATATTTGACTCTGACTGGAACCCTCATCAGGTTCGTTACTCTCTCACATATATTAAAAAATAATATTGCATCATGTTTTCATTTTACTTTTAGAACTAAGTGTTTGATTTGTGCAGGAAAATGACAAATTAGTAAACAAACTGTTTTTCTGTAGGACTTGCAGGCTCAGGACAGAGCCCACCGTATCGGCCAGCAGAACGAGGTACGAGTGCTGCGCCTCTGCACCGTCAACAGCGTGGAGGAGAAAATCCTGGCTGCGGCCAAGTACAAATTGAATGTGGACCAGAAGGTCATCCAGGCAGGCATGTTCGATCAGAAGTCTTCCAGCCATGAGCGCCGGGCCTTCCTGCAGGCCATCCTGGAGCACGAGGAGCAAGACGAGGTCTGGGGTCAAGAGCTCGTGAATGTGTGTGCCTGCACCGGCTGGATTTACATTGCACCCTGTGCTCTTATTGCTCTGCTCGCCAATGTGTGTCTGCTATTTTCAGGAGGAGGACGAGGTGCCAGACGATGAAACTGTCAACCAAATGATTGCCAGGAGTGAAGAGGAGTTTGAGCAGTTTATGGTCCGTCTCTGAAACCAAAATTAGAACTTAGAACCTTTTTGCTTTGTTGTTTCTCTTAACAGACCTTTCATTCTCCCAGCGTATGGACCTGGACAGGCGCCGTGAGGAGGCTCGTAATCCTCGACGGAAACCTCGTTTGATGGAGGAGGACGAGCTGCCCACCTGGATCATGAAGGATGATGCTGAAGTTGAGCGTCTGACCTGTGAGGAAGAGGAGGAAAAAATGTTTGGGCGAGGTTCCCGACAGCGTAAGGAAGTAGACTACAGCGATTCACTGACGGAGAAACAGTGGCTAAAGGTGACTACCTGAAAAAATAAAATCAAAGTTTCCAGAGAATTTATATTCCTGAGGTTCTAATGAGCTTTTGTTTATGTTCAGGCAATTGAGGAGGGGACACTGGAGGAAATGGAGGAAGAGGTGCGTCACAAAAAGACAACCCGGAAGAGGAAGAGGGATCGCGATCTGGATCTTCCAGGTCCGTCGTCTTCCTCTGGCAGCCGCGGACGGGGGGACAGGGATGATGATGGGAAGAGGCAGAGGAAGAGGGGAAGACCGCCTGCTGAGAAACTCTCCCCCAATCCTCCCGGTCTGACAAAGAAGATGAGGAAAATCGTGGATGCTGTCATCAAATACAAAGACAGGTGAGAGAAATTACCTCAAACAGAGATCAGAGGCTTTTATAATGTGGCTCACAAAGATTCAGGAGAAAGATTGACAAAAGACAGAGAGGTACAAACAGTAGAAGAATAGTTTTAGATGAATTGTTTGGGATATTACATCTTAACTAGAATCTATTCCTTAATATCTTGTTAACATTTAGATTTTTGTAATAGTAGGCGCATTTACAGGAAATCTTGTTGCAAGGGCCCTTAAACTTTAAATAGTTAAGACTGCATCTATTTCCTTAAAAATGTCTGTCTTGTGTTTCGCCAAATGACAATAGCATTTATACTAATTTCAGTTAAATGAATAAAGATGTGTTGCCCTGCGATGGACTAGTGACCTCTCCAGGGTGTACCCTGTAAACAGCTGGAGATAGGCACCAGCATCCCTCTCGACCTTGCTTGGGATAAGCGTGATAGAAAATGGATGGAATTTTTTTTTATATATATATATATATGTGTATATATTTAAAAAGAAAACAAAAAAATCTTCTCACCCATCGCGGGTGGTCCCCCTTTTTCCTCTAAGCTCGGGTCCTCTACCAGAGGCCTGGGAGCTTGAGGGTTCTGTGCAGTATCTTTCCTGTTCCTAGAACTGCACTCTTCGGGACCGAGATGTCTGATGTATTTCCAGGGATCTGCTGTAACCACTCCTCCAGTTTGGGGGTCACTACCCTGAGTGCCCCAATGACCACAGGTATCACTGATGCCTTGACCGTCCAGGTTTTCTCCAGCTCTTCTCTGAGCCCCTGGTATTTCTTTAGTTTTTCATGTTTCTTTTTTCCTGATGTTGCCGTCACTTGGTAGTACTATGTCAACGACAATGGCTTTCCTTTGCTTTTTGTGAAAATGTCCGGTTGGTTTGCCATTACCATTTGGTCCGTCTGTATCTGGAAGTCCCACAGGATCTTGGCTTGAACATTCTCTACCACCTTTGGAGGTGTTTCCCACTTTGACCTTGAGGTTTCCAGCCCATTCTCCGCACAGATGTTCCTGTACACTATTCCAGCTACTTGGTTATGGCGCTCCATGTAAGCTGGATTGTCTCAGGGGCTTCTTTGCACAGGCTGCACCTGGGGTCTTGTCTGGTGTGGTAGATCTGGGCCTCCATTGCTCTGGTGCTTGGGGCCTGCTCCTGTGCAGCCATGATGAGTGCCTCTGTTCGGCTTTGTCTAGCTTTTGGTAGGATTTCCTGATATCGGCCACTTCGATTACGTTCCATTGGTACATCCCGTGTAGGGGCTTATCCTCCCATGATGGAGTCTCTGGCACCTTATCTCCTGTTCCCCATTGTCTGAGACATTTACTGAGGATGTTGTCTGTTGGAGCCTTGTCTTTTATGTACTTATGGATCTTGGATGTTTCATCCTGGATAGTGGCTCTTACGCTCATTAGCACACAGTCTCAGGGTACTGGATTTGGATCGATACCCTCCGTGCATGGTTGCTTTCGTGTCTTATCATCTGTGGCCTGTACCTCCTCCTTTGGCCAGCTTATTATTCCTGCAGGGTATCTGATTACTGGTAGAGTGTAGCTATTTATTCCCAGAGACTTATACTTGCCATTGAGCTGGCTCCTTAGGACCTGCCTTACTCGTTGGAGGTATTTGGCCGTAGTCGCTTTCCTTGTTACCTCTTCGAGGTTGGCATTTGCTTGTGGGATTCCAAGGTTCTTGTAGCCGTCTTCAATGTCTGCTATTGTGTGGACTACCTTCCCTCTCTTAGTTACATTCTGACCACACTGCTCTAGTCCGAATTAAGTCTTAGTATCTCTATTTAGTATCTGCAATTGAGGCCAGAAAATCTTTTAACAATGTGCAGACTGTCGCTAGCTTAACATTGCAGTAGACCTTTTGCTTTAACTGACCAATCAGCTGACAGAAAAAGCTGATGTGGGATGGGCCCTCTAGCTGGCCCTATGGGGCAAATCTGAAATCTTATTGGTTGAAGAAAACGTTCCTCACCAATATTGTTAAGGTAAGATCAGCCACCACTGCTGGTTCTGATGGCCTTGACAGATCTGATTGACATAGCAACGCAATAAGGCTGAAATCTGATTTAATCAGTGTAGAATGAATGCTCATTTTACAGATGCAAACTCTGTGTTCACCTGGGTAGTAGATCAACTTTGTACACACTAAGGGTTTTTACATTTAATGGATCATTGTTTCCAACCTAAAAAAAAAAAAATCTTAAAAGAAAAGACATTCACTTTTGGTGTCATCTGAGTAAATTCAAAGAAATGATTCCACAAAAGAGCTGAAAAAGCTCTAAAACCTAAATAAGAGCCCCGAGGTACCCCAATTTTTATCTGAAAATCAGTAAGCTGATTTTGAAAGCAAAAGTCAATTTCTTTTGTTTTGTTGTACCTGTTTTCCAAATTACCTGTAATATATGTAGATATGCATATAGAGATGGTTCCTCAGTGTAAATATAATTTACACTTTCCAGAAATGCAAATAAGACCAATAGGGGACCAGAGCTGGTTAGTTTCTCACTGACGGTGTAATGTCCTGCAGCACCAGCGGGCGTCAGCTGAGTGAGGTCTTCATTCAGCTGCCGTCGCGAAAGGAACTGCCTGAGTACTATGAGCTTATCCGCAAGCCAGTGGACTTCAGGAAGATCAAGGTTGGATCATTTTTGAGCGTGAGATCAATGATTATTCCCTTCATTACGATTAATGTGATGTGTTTTTCCTGCAGGAGAGGATTCGAAGTCATCGCTACCGCAGTCTGGGTGACCTGGAGAGAGACGTCATGCTGCTTTTCCAAAACGCTCAGACCTTCAACCTAGAGGGTTCCCTGGTAAGTCCCCCCGGGATCTTTGTCCCTGACGGGACCACATCATCATTCAAGGTGCGAAGATGACAACGTGCTTGTTTTCTGGCAGATATATGAAGACTCCATTGTGCTGCAGTCCGTGTTCACCAGTTTGAGGCAGAAGATCGAGAAGGAGGAGGAGAGCGAAGGAGAGGACAGTGAGGAAGAGGAGGAAGAGCAGGAGGATGGATCAGAGTCAGAATGTGAGCACTGCTGTACAAACAAACAGAAACTCTGTTTCTATTTAATGTCTTGTAACATTTTTTTTAAATCACTCAACAGTTTAAACTTATAGTGCAGTGCAAAAGTATTCATACTTATAAATTTTTCAAATGTAAACACATGAAAAACACACTTCCGAGTATTAAAGCAGCACATAGCTATAAAGTAGATCAGATATGATGCATGTTTTTACTTATTTTTTTTAACATTTAAAGTCTGAAAAATGTGGCGTGGTTTTATGTTCATTGTTAACCTGATGCCTCACATGAAAACATAGTGGAAGCAATTAGTAAAACAGTCCTGTGGTGTTTAGATTGGTATTAGTTATATGCATTTATTGCTACTAAGGTTAATAATCCATCCTCATATTCCTCCATTTACTGATATTCTAAATTCTTTCTCTGTATTTGTGTGTTTTGTGTATAGCTCGCTCAGTCAAAGTGAAAATCCGCCTGAGTCGGAAGGATAAAGGAGGAGATCGAGGGAAAGGACGCAGCAGGCGGACAGGACGCACCAGGGCCAAACCGGTTGTCAGCGACGACGACTCTGAGGAGGAGCAGGAGGAGGTAACTCTGGGCTGGGTCCAGCTCTCTTTTAAGAAAGAAGAAAGAAACTTCATACATTCCTATCAGTGAGAACCTGAAGTATAAAGGGGAATAATAAAGAGAAAAAAAGATCATCACCATCAGCATCAACTCTTTCTATTGAAGGAAATGGCAAAAAATGTGAATAAACTCCCTATAATTCACAATATAATTTTTATACTCGCTAGAGGTAGTGTTTGGCCATTAGAGAAAAAGGGTTGATGCGCAAAACGAGAGATGGAAACAGTTTAACCAATCACCTCACATGACTGATCAGTTGTTTTGTCCTGGATGTTCCTATTATGTCTGTAAACATGACTAGAAGCAACATCGCCATAGATGAAATTTTGATTTCAGAAGTGGGGGGGGGACGCAACTATGTTTTAATATAACTAATTTCAGCGTGGTTGACCATCCAATTACAGACCCGATTCAGTAGCACATCAGATGTAAGGTTAGCTTCTCAGGAGTGACAGCCGATCACACAGGAAAAGACGGAGGGCCAATCAGGAGCTTGTGTGCGGTCTAAACTCAGGGAAGCGTCCTTCAGCTTGAGCTGCAGTTTTCCGCTTGGTCCTAGTGCTTGGCAATTGTCTGTTTACTGTAGCGTAACGTTGTTTTTGGACAGTAAAACATCCAGGGGACCAAAATGGACGTTTGAAAAAGTGCAACCCTCCGAAAATTACATCCATGTGCATCGCCATTACTAACTGACATCTTTACATAAGAACAACTTGCCCGATAGCAACCCATTCATTAAAACTTTCCTCCATTACTGACCTGAGGTCATTTCTAAATAACATTCTCTACTTCCTCTTTACTTGCTCGACGACGTAATGTGGACAAGGACATAGAACGCCTTTGCAATGCTTTGTTAATTCGTTCAAAACAAATGGAAACACTGCTAATTTGCATTTCCCTTTTTTTCAAACTTTTAAAATTTCACTTAAAATTCAAGTTTCAGTTGAATGGATACACAACTATAGAACATATAGAAAATGAAATGTGTTTCTGTTCATATAATGCAACTGTTGGATGGAGAATATAGCAGAGTCTAAAATAATCTGCTTGTCTGTTTTCCAGGAGCGCTCGGCCAGCGGCACCGATGAAGAGGTTTGAACGGTTTACAGGAGTTTAAGAGAAGGAGGCACAAAAAGGGAGATTCCAACAAGTCAAATAGCGCATATAATCATCGAAACAAACAAGCCACACTCAGCTCCATCCAGCCTCAGTCAAACAACACGGACCTAAAATAGGAAGGAGACAGGTTCAAGCTTCATATATGAGCTGTATTGTATACATCCCCATTTACTAGCTGGCCTGGTAAAGATGTGTAAACAGGCTGAAAGTAAATCTGTTTCAGCAGAATCTGTCACAAATATCCAATTATTTAATTTTAAAGCATTAATTACATTTTTTAAAATCCACCTTAAAAAGGAATACTGACCAATTATTTATTCTCTTTAAGTGGCACAGTTATTGACACCTCCGATAAATCCTGAATAATAATAAATAAGATATTTCCTCGTCTCCCTGCTTTAAGGCAGAGGTCTGCAACCTGCAGCTCCAAAGCTTCGAGTGGCTCTTAGGAAGATCTAGAATGGCTCTAAATAAGAACCTTCAAATATATAAAGAATTAATGCAGCATAATACAACACCAGTCTTAAGATATATATATAATTTCTTTTTTTAATATTTGATTGCATTTTCACAACAGAATGATATTAAAATAAGTAAAATATATGTTTTTAGATCTACTTTTCTCATTTTTAGCTTGGATTTGTTTGTTTTTTTACATAAAAAATATCCTATATAAGAAAATCCATGCTTCATCTTTATGAATTGCTTTATTTTTTCCTCATTTAGAGGCTAAAAATACAAATAAATGTATTAAAATGGTAACAGATTCCCTATAATAGATATTCAACAAAAATAAGCTGTATGTATTGAAAGGTTTTATTTAAGATTTGCATTTCTAAATGACTTTTACTCAGCCAGACTCAGAGTAAAATGGGTCTTTGCAGGTTGCAGACCCCTGCTCTGGGGTATGATGATAATAATAAAACCAAACAGGCCTATTTTGCTAAATGGGAAAGATAATAGAACAAGTTCAAGTAAGGCCAATTGTCTTGATGTTTTTGATTAATGAAATAGTTACCAAAAAATGATTTCTCCTCTAACTCTGTTTTCTTCTACATTTTGGATAGAGTGAAGAAGTTTAAACAGTAGCAGTGTTTATGTTGCTTCCAGATGAATAATCGTCCAACCACAGGTTGGAAAACTGCAGCATCTCCTTTTGGTTAAAAGTAAAAACAACTTCTAGAACAAATTAGGTTTTATCAAGGGATAAAAAAGCATATTTTTATGGACTTTGGAGCTTTTTGGATAATTGCATATTAGACCAGGGGATGGAGCAGGGCAGCCTGGATTATTAGAAGACGCCCAGTGAGTCAGATTAAACATGATTGAACAGGCAAGGGATGTGCAACTGCTATAAGCTTTAAAAAACACTGATCTGTGTCCTTCCATGGATACTGCGGTCTTTTATTACCTTTATTATATCACCAGGATGTGATTGTAGTTTTTTTTATGTGTTTTTTTCATTATTAACATATTGTTTAACTCTATTTATAGGTCCCTTTATGGATCGTATTTAATTCGAATTTTAAATTTTTTATTTAAACAAATATTTTATTTATTTACTTTTAATTTGTGTAATTAATATGATTAAATAGGATGCAGTTCTAATTATATTGCAGTCCTAGTTATGCAGTTTTAACTGAATTTCCTGCTGTTTAATCTTTCTAGACTGAACATCTGAGTGACAATCTTTTATTTATCGAGGTAAATACAGCAGCTATGGACTTCTCATGGTTTATAAGGCTTGTGAAGGGGGAATTAATGAAGATTGTTCACTATAAGAGGTCAGGAATTGAAAAACTTAAATGTATAGAGGAGAATTTTTGAAAAGACACATCCTCTCCACTTTAAAAAGAAAAATTCACATGCACAACCCTGTACCTCCCTCTTGAGAGGGAATGCCCATTAAACACGTGCAAGAGCCCATTTCTGCTCATGCAGGCTCTGTTTAAAAGTTGCTGTCTGCATCGCTCATACAAACTTACTTTCCAAAAGAAGATTTGCAATTTTTCCACTTTCAGACTATTGATGATCCACATGTAAAAACATCATCCTCTTTACTTTTAAGTTCAGCTTTCTTAGGAGTCAAATAGATTTTCTGTAAATGTTCAAGATTTTCTTTTTTTTTTCTACCAAGAACTGGTCAAACATGCCCTTCTTACTATCATGAGGAGTAGAACCTGTTGGGTATTTGTGTAAGGTCATGTTAACAATGCAAAATCTAAATGTGTGCAGACATAAAATGAATGCATCTTATAAAAACCTAAGGACATAACCTGGAGCAGCTAAACAAACCCCCAGAGCCACTGCGAATTAAAGATTGTGTATAAATCAGGTGTTTGTCTCGAACAAACGTCCAATTTATGGGTGCGAGATGTTTAGCGATCCTCCAGGGTTAATAGACTGAGGCTTAATGGAGCTCAGGTCACAGCATTAAAACAACCCAGCTGCTGCTTCACAGAAACCTTTTAATGGTACACTTGAATCATTTTTTAGTCTGTATGAGTACTGTAGCTTTAATTGTTTCTCCTTCTTCTGTTGTTGCGTAGTGATTTCAGAATTTCAAAGCTGTTTATTATGTGTGTGGGGGGGAGGGTTTGCACTTTTTTTCTCTTACAAGACAAAGGACCAGGGGGACAGTGGCTCCTCTCTGCTTGTAACTGCCTCGTTCAAGGCTGAATGGTGTTGGATATACTGTGAAGACTATTTATATAAGAGCATAATGTCGGTGCACGTATGTACAGCTTGCAACTCATGTACTGTAAGTTTGTCCTCATCGCCCTAGGTAACCAGAGTGAACCAAAGCATCCATGTTTCCTCTAAGGAGTTAACAACATGTGTCTGTGCTGTGCTGTGTCACTGTTGCTCATACTTATATAAAACAATAAAATGTTGATGTTGTGTCATGGTGTGCTGTGATTGAAATAACCAATTTGCATTTTTTATTTTTGAATTTTAGTTTTAAGGTTTTAGGGAAAACACAAATTCTCTCTTTTTCTTTTTGTTTTTGTTTTACAGTGTCCTGTCTGGCAATGTGTCAATAAGAATAATTGTCTTGATGCCAAAAAGAGCCCAACAGATTTTACTTTCACAAGTGAAGCAGTATGGCTATCGCCATAGTGTTCCGCTTGTTTCGTGCATATAAGTTGCTTTATTATAATTATGCAGGGAGTTTTACAGATTATATGGACACTGAAATATAAGTAGAACAGAAGAGGAAAAACAGAAATAAAAGAGAAAAGATGAAAGAAAGGAGATAAAAGGGAGATAACGATAAACATTTTCAGTCAGCTTCATCGCCTGCAAAGAGATGTAAAAAGAAAAGCACAACCAACAGGCATGGAACGAGACAAACAATAAAGTAACACCTATTGCTGAAGTAGTATTATTTAATCTGACATGTACTCTGTGTTACCTGAAGATAAGAATATGGGCTTTCTGTATGGGAGTGAATCTCTTAGTACCTGGAACCAAGCACCTGTAGTTGTTTGTGAGAGTGCACTTGTGCATGTAAAGTTTATCCAATGGAAAAATACTAAATAGTGGTTGTGGAGAGCCGAAGAGGCGCCCTCAAACACAAATTCTAAGCTCTGGTATGTAATGATCCCTTTTGTCCACTGGGGAGAGTCCTTATATAAACAGAAAAAAACTGTTTTCTTCTCTCTTCAAAAGACTTCTTTATTGTAGGGATGAACTGAACATCCTTTTAAAATATATTCTGTCTTTTGCCTTCCTTCACCCTCTTTATCAGTCAGTTGTCTTAAATAAATATTAATAATATATTTATATATTAAATAAATAGATATATTTTCATAAAGTTAGCTAAATCAGAGTAAATTATGCTTTCCTGCTGGTTTTCATTAGAACTTCTGCAGAGTCTAGGTCCCCAAAACAAAAAAAAAGTATTTTATTGAGCAGATTTCTAGAAAGATAGACTCCATGCTTTTCCACTTAACGTCATCCTGAGGAGAACTGGGACAGTGATGACTACATTTCCAAAATGTTTTGGCTTTCTAGTTAAAACCACAAACTTTGTATCTTATGATGATTTTATTAATGGAACATGGATGGAAAATAATTATAGCTTCCTTTTATTATCAAACAGAAACCTGGGGAACCCATAGCTTACATTTTTATTGAGTCAACACTTTGTAGAAAGACCTTTTCTGTTTTTTGCACCACGTCTTTTAGGCTTTTCCATCTCGATACATCCAGAGGCTGTAACAACGTCTAAGGATAATTTCAGCTCAGATTTGAGCTAAAGTTATGTGTGCACAACAGTTTGTGACCCTTTTCACAAGTCCTAATAGGTCTTACTAACAGCTAAATATTCTTTAATCCAAATTTGGACCCTTCTTCTCTGTTCTGTCTCGTTTATGTTTAAGACACTTCCCCTTCCTTACCTGCTGTTGGTGTTCAGAGGGCCTGGTGTCACCAATGTATGGCAGCCTCTTTCCTATCAGTCTGCCCCAGTGCAGTTATGGCCACAATGCAGCTCACTACAACAGGCGTGTGAGTGGAACACTGTCTGAATATATTGTAAAGTGCTTCATAAGTACAGGCCATTTCTTATAACAACTTATTTCCTTATGTTACCAAAAATCAATAAAGGACAGATTTGTGAAGCATTTCATTGGTGACCTAAGGAGAAGTATAGCTTGTTTAGAAATTAAAGCCATGTGTTTTCTTTTACACACGGCTCTACTCTGTGTTGCATTATTGAATTTGATCCCATTAAGAGGGTTTGCGATTGTAACATGGTCAAATGTGAGAAAGGTTTAAAACACGAAGGCAGCCGCTCTTATAACTTTGAAACTAATGTCTGTTGAAGGTATCTTAAGTCAACAGATTCTTCAAAATATTTTTGGATAACTTTCATTACTTTTTTGATTTATTGTACTTTTAATTATTCCTCTGCCCTTTTTAGTAGCCTTAAAAAAGGAATACATGTTCTCACCAACATTTATTGGCCCCTATGTTTGCTCAAATTTAATCTCTATGACATTCATTTGTTTCTGCTGATGCTAACCTGTAAGCAAAACACTAATAACAAGACGGTTATAACCATCAGGGCTTATGGGAACAACTCTCAGGGTTGAGTTCCTGCTACAAGCCTCATAATTAGCTCTGTACTTCTGCGTTTGATCAGGGCAGACTTTTTAGAAAAATATTCGAAAGGAACTTGCTGTAAGGCAACTGAGACATTTTAGGGTTTTATTTAGTTTTCTCTAATGCATAAACTTCTCAAAACCATTAATATGTACAACTGGAATAGTTTAAAGCAGGCCTTACAGTAATGTACGTTTGTTTGGGTGCATCCCTCTAAGATGGTGTGGTGTTGCTCATGGGCCTTTACTGATAATGCTGGTATCGCTATGATCAAAACTGTCCCAGAGACCTGGATGTTTTAGTGTTGGGTTGTTAAGGTTTTTTTAACCTGTGATGTGATTTACAGATGACTGAGTACATGCTGTACAGTAACTCTGAGTCTATCTCATGATCGAGAAATGTCTTCATATCAGCTGTTGATGAAAACTTCTTCCTGTTCTCTTCCAGCTCCCTTTGTTATTGAAGATAAGCGCTTTTAAACATTTTGGCTTGAATCTGAAAATATCTAGTGATTTAACATCTCAGGAGAATTTTAAGAAGCAAGGTTGTTTTGAAGAGGTTAAGAACAATTAAACAAAGATTTGGTTTGAGGATATCCAACGAACAAATCAGTCCAAATAAATGTACATCTCTCCCAAAAGGTTTACAAAAGTATATCTTTCGTACAAGAGCCCTATCAGTGGTAATCGTGCAAAACAAAACATAACCTTTTATGTGACCCTTGATTGTAATTCTATACAATGCATCACGCTGAAGTTAGCCTTTTTTTTTTAACCTAAATCCAAACTTTTTGTTTTCCAGATAGCTTATTACTGTCAGTTAGGATTTTAATGTCAGTAATAACCATCAAGTATACAGAATTTTTTTCCTATTTATCACTTTAGAATAACCGTAAAATTCAAAAGGGAAGTGAAATAGAACATAAACAAAGTTTGGGTAATTATCAGAGTGATTACGATGCAGCAGAGAAGTCCTGATGTTGGCCAGAGCACAGACAGTGAGCACATGTTGAAACTGATTATAGACCGTTACAGATAACAGCATGAACAGAAAACATGGCTGATTTTACCAAGATAACGTCCCCCTTTTGACCCACTGACTTACCACGCAGCGTATTGCATGTATAAAAAAAATATTTAGGGATTTTTGAGTAATGAAAAATAAGATCTGTCTACATTTTTGTGTAAAATAGGCCAGTATTATTCTCCCAATATAAAGACTGTTGAGCCTCATTGAACACTTGCATAGTGTTGTTGATCATTTTGCAAAAAAACTACAAAGTGGCCTTAATGTCAATTCTAACAAAACAATAAATGATTTCTTTGTTTTCTCACCAACAACTTCATTAGATGCTTAAAAATAAATTGACATTTGGAATTAAGAGCCCAACGTGTGGCGATAAAATATCTCCCACACCAACATACCGCCACCATCAGCAGCTTAAGCGTTAGCGATGCTAAAGGCAGCTGTCACTATGTTTTAAACCCACGTCAGAAGTATTGGAGTTTGATGTTGGGGTTGAGAGGAAGATTCTGACTTTTTAACCTGTAACAAGTTTATCTTGTCATTAATGCTAAAATAAACACAAACTTTCATGTACGGTAATACTAAAGACCTTTTCTATCATTTCCGAGCTGATACTTGATAAAAATATTTGAACTGTTGTTCCAATGCAGTCCTGAACGTCAACAACAGTCACCCCGTCTTGTGTGTCTATGTGAGTGTGTGGCGGGTGGAGCCAAGAATGTAATCCAGCAGCAGTTCTGACATTCCCAGAGAATCTGAGAACGCTCATTCTTTGGCTGTTCCAGGATTTGACTGAGATTCACACTCCTCCCAATTCAAGCCTTTCCTCCTTGAACCATCCAGGCGGTCCATGTGTTTATGTACCGTATAAGATTAAATAGGAGTCAGAAATAGCTAGATCTGTGGCTGACTAGTTCTTTGTATCTTTGGGTCTTTATAACTTTGTTATTTTTTATAGAGACTGAATATGGATCATTTAAAGCTTTTAGTCAGAGTCAGATCAGCTGTAAGAAGTGAGCATCAGGGAAGGATTTGATTCAATGCATTTATCCAATCTGTACCTAAATAGACAGAAAAGAACCTTCGGTGTATAATTAGTATATTTCCAAACAGAAATTGGTGAAACAGAAGATCTGGAGATGAAAGTAGACCTGACAGATTAAAAACACAATGCATTTGTGAGCGTCTTCAATGCTCAAATCACGAGGTAAATACATTTCAATGAGGAATATTTCCAATTATAAACTCCTCTAGTACAACGTGGGAAAAGCTGTGAGTGTTTTGTAGCTCCACCCTTTTCATTCTGTAAAAGTCAAATGTTTTGGGAAAACATTTCACACCGTTCTTCCGCTCTTTCCTATTATCTGTGCAGCTTCCAAGAAACAAAGAACCCATTTATCAGCATCCCCTGCTACACGGTGTTCCTCCTATACTACTAAAACACTCAGGCAGGTTTAGTCAGAATGACAACAATAGGTTAATGTCACAAATATGATTTATCATATAAAGCGTTGGGGACTTTATTTGAGAGGAACTGATCATGCAATTGTAGATATGGCTCCTCAACATTTATTCCTGCTATTAATTTTATTGTTATTCATTAAAAGGAAAGCATAAACACTTAATTGTTATTTAAAAAACATACCAGTGCAACAACAAATAGCACACTTGCTTTTCAGTGTAAAAATAACCTCTTAATAAAACTCTTTTAATTAAAATAACTCTCACAGTCAATTATTTAACTTTTTATTTGTTATTGAGAATGTAAAAAAAGTTTTTTTTACTTGATGGACCTCATAAGATTATTGAAAGTTACCAGATTGAAAACGGAAAGTGACTCAAACAGCAAAAGTTTTGAGGTCGGATTTAAACCCCAGTTTTTTGAAGGACTAAAAGGTCCCACATACAATATAGTGCGTCTGCTTAACTACACCATACACCCGCACAGCATCTTATGATTAACAATCTATGACTTTTTTTTTCCACAGCTATAGTGGGAGCTGTTTCGTTAAAAACAAAAGTCTGTTAGATGTGAGTTTATCTGAAGTGAAGCAGAGGTAGCAATGAAATAGCTATCCGACTTTACACTCCCTGGCAGTAATTTAACTGATCTAAACCAGCTGGATCTGGGACAAACCAAGCCGGAATGGGAGCCAGATGTTAACCTACCACACGCTGGCGGCATTATGGGAAGTGAGGTAAGCAAATGTCAGAAAGTCCCTTTTAGGGAGAGAAAGAGAAAGAAAGAGTGGGATTCCTAGGAAAAAAAACTTACGAAATAATAGCAACTGGCTGCTTTGGGGGCATGGCCTATAGCTCCTCCCATCAAAACCACAAACATGAAGTTTGCCAAACTCCACTGAGACTTTAAATGCTACTGTAAAAGGATGGGAATAAAGTTAAAGGAATAGTACACCCAAAACATGATTAGCCTTCATTTTCTACTCACCCCCATGCTGAACAACACTCTGGAGTACTTTTTTGATATCTCAAATGCATCTGGAGATCTGGGAG